GACAATCTGTATAATAAAACATTGGAGAAAAATCTTACTTTATTTTAATAAGGAAACTTAAAAATTAAGGAAAAAGAAAAACATACATGACTGCTTTGATGTAACAACTCAGCAAACATTTGGTCTAAAAAAGACGTTTTTAATACGTCTAAAAGAGGTCTTTTTGAGACCAAATGTTAGCTGAGCATGGGTAGTTATGATAGAGCAGATATTTTTTAAATTTGTTGGATACTATATTTTAGATTTATTAAGTAAAATAATCCGTATTAATGATTTAGGTCTTTATCGTGATGGTGGTTTAATAGTAATGCAAGGGTTTAATAGTAATGCCAGGGTAAACATTTTTAGCGGAGTCAGAACCGATAAACAAAATTGCAACTCCGGCTCCAATAGTAAAACCTCTCTGTATTGTGTGTGCTTGTAAAATAATTTTTCATATATTTTTCAAAAAGTATTTTTTTTAAATTATCACGTAATATTTTTAGAAAAAATTCAACAAATTTTTCAAAAATTTTGCTTTGAAGTCATACTCTGAAAATTTCAATAACTCTTTTTTTTTTACGACTCCACAACCATGTAGCAATGCGTAAATAATCTGGTCCACAGCTCGATAAAATTAAAAAGATACTATAAAAATTTTTAATATTGGCTTGAATGTGAATTTTCTAATGTCACATCTAACTTCTCTGAAAATTCATGAGCCTATTAAAAAACCAAAAGATGAATTATTGTATATTAATATTAACTCAAATGGTAAAGTATTGTATATTAATATTAGCTAATATTACCCAAAATTTGACCTTGAAAAAAAGAATACAAAAAAGCGAAAGAGAACTAGAAATGTAATTTGCTTTAACCCCCATATAGCAAAAATATTTTCACTAACATCGGAAAAGTGTTTTTAAAAATTTTTAATAAGTATTTCCTACCCTATAATAAATTACATAAAAATTTTTAATCGAAAAACAATTAAATTTAGGTACAGTTGCACAAAAAGTTTTTAAAGAATTATAAAAGGTCACAATAATGCTTTGTTAATCATAAAAGAAATCCTAAAAGAAAAAAAGACAGAAAACTCTAATTTAAAACAAAAAAAACAATTGTCCAATGAAAGGAAATTGTTTATCAAAAAACATGTTATATAAATGTGTTGTTTCATCTAAGAATGTACCTGATAAGCCATATATTAGCTCAAAAGAGAGTGAATGGAAAAAATGTTTTGACAATCGTAAGCAATCAATTAAAAAAAAAAAGTATTCAAAAGACACCATGCTGTCAAAATACGTATGGAAATTAAACGATAAAAATATTGATGATTTTATGCTAAATTGGTTCATCTTTAAACCAGCACTTGCATATATAAATATTTCCAAAATAAAGGTAATTTTAAAAATTTACTAACCAAAAACCTAAAGCTATTTTTTTTTGTAACCTATTGAGCTTTGTGGTCAAAAGTAGTTGATCGAATTGTATACATAATTGATTTCTCTACTTTTCAGAATCTTTGTATCAAGTTTTCAAATTTAAGTGTCAAAGAATCAAAAATCAATCAACAATAAAAGTCAATTATTTTTTGTACACTTAAGCACAGCTATATACAATTAAAATCGTAATAGAGCTATCTAAATAAAATAATTTATTATAAGTAAATAAGCATTTATAAGTGGAAATTGTTTATCAAAAGGCGTGGTATAAATTGTGCTATATAACTCCATCCAAAAGCATACAACCTTAATATTAAAACTGTGTCAGGCAACAGTACATACTTACACATATGTGTAAGTATACAGAAATACATTATAACAATATGTTAAGTATGGACAATATGTATATATCTAATATTTATAACACTGTATCTTTTTATTTATATTCTCTATTTAATATTTTCTCTATTTATGGTGATTTTGGTTGTTGCTTCAACTTTTTTTTGATATAAAATATATTTCCGCTCTTACAACTATGCCCTAAATAATAATGTTTATTTTTCTTTTTAATTATATATTACGATTATAAAAAGAAAAAAAATACACTCTATTATATCAGGGTTTTCCTTGATAAAATTAAGTGTGCTTAATTCCTTCTAATGCATATGAGCAGAAGTATATTTTTTTATAGCAAAAAGTTGAACCAAAAAATTACCATATATAAAATAAACATCGTTGATAAATTTGAAAAAAAAAAAATTTCAAATTCCTACGGTTAGAAGTTGAGTAAATTGATTTTGAAAAAATAAACAAATTACTGACTCAGACTAAAATAGCATTCAAGAAAACTGAAGGTTAATCACGCCCAGATCATTTTCAGCTTGTTTAACTTTTTTAATATTGAAACTAAGCTATCAATCTGCTGATTTACTTTAATTATAAAATAAAAATAGAAAGTTTTCATTAACAAACCAACAACAAAAACATTATCATATAAAATGTTCGATGTAGTCAAGGACTGCAGCCATTTTAAAAGTTCTAAACTTTTTAAAATTAATTGACACATGCGTACCTAAACATAGCGCATTTTCCTAATATCGAAACGACCGTGAGAGTCAAATCTGCTGTTCGTTTTTGCAGTAACAGTTTTTAATAGAAATGATCATATCAGAGTTTAGCATTTACCCAGTAAGCACAGGACGTTTTTAAAACGTTTTAATTCCATTCAATTAACGGTCGGACGTTAAAGGAACCAATACAATCGTTTTTAAAACGTTTTTTTGTAAGCGTTTATTTTAATGTTAATTTAAACGTTTTTTTAGCGTTTTTTAAGCATTTTTTTTTAATTAACTTACGAAATTTCTCAGTTAGCTAATGAACGTTTTTTAAAACGTTTTTTTAACGCGATAAAAAAACGTTTTTAAACGTACAGCACGGCAATATCTAAAAGAGGATGTATGTTTACGCAAATAATGGCGTGACCATCGATTAGGCGAATTGATTTATTTAAGTAAAAATTATAAAAATTAACATATCTTTAAATCAACTAAGTGTTTGTATTGTTTTCTTGTAGAATTAAATTTGAAAATATATTGGAGTATTTTTAGTGTAAAGTTGTATGCCTTCGTTGAAACTAGATTGTGTTTGTATTTCTACTTGAATCAAGTAGATATAGGTACGCGGAATTCGTGATTTACGGAACCAATTTTTATGTTAAAATTTTGGTTCTCGTTTTTTTAACTCTTTTTTACGCAGCTTAGGCAGTTTCTTTTTAAAAAGTTTCTTTTTAAACAATTATATAAACATAGATACTTTTTGGAAAGAAGAAAGGCTAATCTTGCTTTTTTAAATACTTTTATATATGGTTACTGAACTTTTTTATAGAATATTTTGCTCCTGAATATTAGGTTGATGTTCTCTCATAATTTTGTGGTCGAAGAAATGTAGAGTCCGTTTTTTTTATTGTTAAAATAGTTTGTTTCATGCCTTTTCTATGCACGTGCCAAATTTCAACGAAAAATAATTATAAGCAATTAGTTTAATTAGTATTATACCAAGTATACCACTCTTTTTAGGTAGCCCTAGGCAAATGGTTTTTTGAGGTGGTTTCATTTAGAAACATATAAAACTTTGACAACTTTTGAAAAGATGAAAGGTCAGGCTTGATTTTTATATGACTATTGTGTATCGCGGCCATACTTTTTTATGAAGTATTTTGCTGAGAATTTCGCATGAAAATTTGGTTGATGTTGTCACATAGATTTGTAGTCGAAGAAATGTAAAGTCCGCTTTTTTTATTATCAAAATAGTTTGTTTCATGCCTTTTCTATGCACATGCCAAATTTCAACGAAAAATAATTATAAGCGATTAGTTTAATTAGTGTTGGACTTTAGGTACCTAATTTCGGTTTTTCTGTTGTTTTTATTTCGGTAAGCGAAATCCGGGTGGAACCGAAATCCGGATAAGGGGGCGATTCAAAAAGAAATCTTATTTTGAATTATTTTGATTTATTTTATTAGATTTAATTAGAAATGGAAAAAATTAACAAAAGTGTTTTAGATGCCCTAACAGATATATCTGTTACTATAGTAAGTTCAATTTTTTTTATTCTTAATAGTATTTTCAAATCCAAAATTCTTCATTGTTTTTTATGTAACTTTATGTCAAATATAAAAAAAGATTATTGTTTTAAATTAAAACTGTGGTATTCAATAGCAAGAGTTTTAATCTTTTAAAAACACATTTAATATTTTATAATTTATTTAATCTTTTAAAAACACATTTAATATTTTATAAACTCTATGAATTTTTTAGTTGAGATTACATTAATGAAGTATACAATATACTTATTGTTATGTGGTTTATAATAGCCTATGAAACTTTTGAACTGATTAGTAGCATTTAACAATTTTATTAAGACATCTCATATATATACATAAGTATATTGTATACTTCATTACTTTTAACAAAAAAAAATTAATCTTAACAAAAAAAAATTTCCAGGTGTTTTTAAGATATAACAAAAGATATTATTTTTATTGTCTTTTGTCATATTTGGATTATATACTTATATATAATCTAAAAATGACAAAAATTCTTGTGTCAAATTTGATTTATTATCTGTGGATTAGTGTATAAATCATTATACAAGCATGTCTAATATATATTCCTCGTTTAGATCCCACCAGGTTTTTTGTTGACTTTTTAAGATTTCGTAAGTATAAATCACATAAAATTTTAAGTTTATTCATTAAAAAAAACATTTACTTAATCACAAAGAAAAAATAGTATACAATAAGTGAATGTTAATGAACATTTAAAGTATCTTCCTATATATAAAAACACTTAAAAAACTTAGGTTAACATTTTTTACTTATTGTATACTATCTTTTAAAGATAATCTTTATCTGTGTTATCTGTGTCACAGAAAAAGATAATCTTTATCTGTGTTTACTGTTTAGATAAGTTTATAATCATTGGTAATGTTAGCTTGTTGCTTATAAATATATTATCTTTATATTTCAGTAGTTATATTTTTATTGTTTATATTTATTTTGTGCGTACAGTAATTGCATCTTAAGCAGAGCAGCTTTGATGATTGTTACATTTGTAACTTACTGTTGACAATTTCAAATTATTCTGTACAATTTTTTTTTCTTTAGTCGAATCTACAAAGCCTACCACTGGTAAGTTTGTATAAGTTTGTATATGTTAATGATTATAGAATTAGCGATAACTTTTTAATCTGTGAATAGATTTTAAAGACTAATAATTTCTAAGTCATTATTTGCAATATTTGTTTTTTATTACAAATTTTGAATTTTAGTTACATCTTCCTCTTCAACGAATGGTAAGATTAACAATTATTATTTTTTAATATGTGTATATATTTTCGATGACTGCAATATATAATTTTTAATTAACGCGACGAAAATAAAAAAATTGCTTAGCAAACAAAAACAGGCTATAAGGATAATTTCAAACGTAGATCGTTTTTCACACACACAAACACTTTTTAATGAACTCAATATCCTAAATGTATATAAACTAAACCTCTATCAAGTTCTTATTTTCATGTTCAAACTTGATAAAAATATATTACCAATCTTATTTTATTCCATTTTTGAAAAAATAAATCACAAATACCCTACAAGATTTTCAAAATACAACTACATTCAATCCAAAACTTATTATTCCGCTACTAAATTCTCTATTGTAAACCGAGGACCAAAGTTGTGGAACATAATATTAAATAATGAAATGAAAACTAATTATTCTCTAAACTAATTCAAAACAAAACTTAAGCAATTTACTTTTGTTAACTGAAAATGAATTAAATTTTTTCTAATAAAACTTCTTTATATTAGAAATCAATAATTAGTAGTTAATTAATTAATTACTTTAGATTATTAATACATAATTAATCAACAATTGTACATATATTTTTATCATTTTAAATGATAATCTTCTTTTTGAGAAATTTATTTTTTATTTTTGCGTTATTTATTAATCTTTTACTTTTATTTTATACTGTTTATTTGCTTTTACTTAATTGGAAATGAAAAGTATTATAAATATAATTAAATAAGTTAAACTATAAAATGCTCTACCAATAAAATGTTTTTATATAAAATCATATCTTCTTATTTTTCAAACCAAGTCTTAAATGTTATTTTTGTCATTTTAATATTTTATTAAATTTTGTTTCTTTTATTTTACAAAACAATTGTTAAATCTTTTTCTTTGAAAAACTATAAATTTTAAACGATATGCGATATATTTAAATTTTCTTTTATAATATAAATCAGAGATACATACATTGAAACTATATTTTATTGTTAAACTATATTTTGTCTAGTAATGACGCATTTTTTGGGGCTTAATGGTGAGACTAAATTGTCTTCTTCTAGCCCCGGTCATGTAATTACTTTTTTTATAAGTTACGACTGTAAATTTTTTTTTATCGGCAAAAAAAAAAAAAAGTGTAAAAATAAAAATAAAAATAAAAAAAATAAAAAAAAATAAAATAAAAAAAATTAAATAATTTTTAACTTTAGTTCCTTCTACTTCTGCTATAAGTGGTATGTTTACAAAATTTTACTTTTCAATATGTTTATGCGTTTCTTGGCAATTGCAGTATCTGTTTTTAATTACAACTTTGATAACCTTTACTTGCATCTTCAGCGGCTACTATGACTAGTAAGTTTAAAAACTATTATTTGCAAACATGTTCACACCTCTCTTTATCAATTGCAAATTATTATAACACTTTCTTTTTATCTTTAGTTCCATGTGCATAACTTTCTACTGGTAAATTTATGATTTAAAAATGTTTCTGAATGGTTATTGAATTTATGTTCCTATTTATATACAATATTTAATTCATTAGTATTGTGTTATCCCTCAAAGTGTGGTATAATGAAATTATTACTCTCATTAACATTTTTTAAGCTATCATTGATTAATATGTTGTTCATATTATTTATTCATCCTATCACTTTCACTAACAATTGTTTTATATTACATTTTAAAGCAGAACAGCTTTAATGATTTATACAATTTTTTTTTAATTTTTTTTAATTGAATCTACACAGACAATCACTGGTTAGTTTGTATAAGTTTGTATATGTTAATGGTTATAGAGATAATTATCTAGTACTTTTTAATCTGTGAATAGATTTTAAAGATTAATAATTTCTAAGTCATTATTTGCAATATTTATTTTTTATTACAAATTTTGAATTTTAGTTACATCTTCCTCTTCAACGAATAGTAAGAAAAACAATTATTATTTTTTAATATGTGTATATATTTTCGATGACTGCAATATATAAATTTTAATTAAATAATTTTTAACTTTAGTCCCTTCTACATCTGCTACAAGTGGTATGTTTTCAAATTTTTACTTTTCAATATGTTTATGCTTATCTTTGCAATTACAGTATCTATTTTTAATCACAACTTTGATCTCATTTAGTTACATCTTCAGTGACTACTTTGACTAGTAAGTTTATAAACTATTATTTGCAATCATGTCCACACCTCTCTTTATCAATTGCAATTTTTTATCAAGTAACAATTTTTTTTAACTTTAGTTCCATGGGCACAACCTTCTGCTGGTAAATTTATGATTTAGAAATGTTTCTTAGTGATTATTGAATTTATGTTTCTATTTATATACACTATTTTATTCATTAGTATTGTGTTATCCCTCAAAATGTGGTATAATGAAATTATTACTCTCATTAACATTTTTTAAACTACCATTGATTATGACATTGTTCATATTATTTATTCAGCCTTTCACTATCAAAATTAATTGTTTTATAAGAAATTTTACATAATGCTAAGTACTAATCTATTAACGAATCATTGTCATTTAGAGCTAACCTACCAAAATTATCTCTTATATAGGTCCCAGCATCTTGGACCCACGACCAATAGCTCCTATAAGCGATGGATCCAGTTAGAAGGGAAAGACAATAATTCCTTCAAATGGTCCTATCATCCTCCTAATTTGGGTGTTGGGAACTGCAGCAGAAGGAGAGGTGACCGAGGTCGTGGCAGGGATCAGAGATGGAAAAATGAAAGAGGAATCAGAGGGAGAAGGTGGAATGGTGGTAGCTTAGTGGTCCATGGTGACTATTACAATTATTAGGCGCCACCATTTCTTTTATTTATGAAGTATAAATTGAATATCTTCAAGTTTGTTTTCTGTTTTTTCCCAATTTTTACACTTATAAACATTTGCATTGTTTTTATTCAAAATTTTACCCAAAAAAAGTTAAAAGCAAAACATTGTAATAGTCCCAATGAAATACTTTTTAAACTTTCCAAAATTGTAGTATAAAAACGTGTACAATTTAAACTAAAGATAGATTTAGTCTTTTTAATAGAATTAGGTTTTTTTTTAGAACTTCGTTGCCCACATTAGATGCAATGTTAAGTTTATGTGTTATATTTCTAATGTTAATAAATGTGATGAGTATTTTGCATACTTATTTACTATTATTGTTTTAGTATATTTAAACTGTTGTTTGACTTTATTAATAGTTATTTGATTTTAAATTACCCTTCCTTATGTTTACAGTTCCTAAAAATTATATTTGCGCTATTGAGATTAAAATTAGTGATCGACCGAAATTCGGTTCGGTTCCGGTTCCGGTCATAAATTTGGCCGGAATCGAAATTCCTGTTTCGGTTCCGGCTAGATTTGAGATTTCGGTTTCGGCCGGAATTTCGGTTCTAAATGCTACCGAAAATAGATATTATAAAACTTTATTTTAAATAAATTATTTAGCATTGTAGCGTAAATATATTTTGATTAAAAAAATTTAAATAATTTTTTTGCTAGTTATTTCAACTTCTTATATTATTTTTTGCGTCCGATCGCGTTGTTACTTTTATCTGGTTTTTAATTATCATGTTTAAAATATCATGATCTACAAATTTAATGACGCTACAATGTTATCTACATTGTAGAGTCATATGTTTATGGACTTGTTTATTTATTTATTTTAATTATCGCATGGAATTGGTAACGGTAAAATCTTTACGAACTTGGTGATTTTTTTTAAAATTATCACGTAGAATTTGTTTGAAATAAATTAAAAAAGTTTTTATTGGTTTCATTCATTTTTTTAAAGCAAGTTGTTTTAATGTTTTCTCGTCGTTAAAACATTAAAACAATAATGTTTTCTAGTCGTTATAACTTTTTTAATGTTTTCTCGTTTAAATTGTTAATTGTCTTTTTAACGAACTTTTTAATGTATTGAACTTTTTAATGTAACGTAAGAAATTTTTCTTAAATATATATATATATATATATATATATATATATATATATATATATATATATATATATATATATATATATATATATATATATATATATATATATATATATATATATATATATATTGTTAAGTTAACAACAATATTAATACAAATTAATATAATTAATAATTAATATAATTAACAAAGAACTTGTTAATTATATTTTAAATCCTTGTTCTTGACTCAAACTAGCAACATTAAAAAACTCATCTGATTAAGTTCTTCGATTTCATTCTAATAAAATGAGCTCAAACCGAAAAACAAGTTTAGTGTGGAAGTACTTCATAATTGAAGCAAACAATCCAAGAATGGTTCAGTGCAAAATCTGCAACAGCAAAGTTTCAAGAGGATCTGACGACCCAAAAAAACAAGGATTAAGTGGACTCACGTCACACCTGAAGAATCATCATCCTGACATCAAACTTACGCCCGAAAAAGCAGAAAATCCAAAGGCAAATGAAGAAGCTGACTTAAATTCCAACAAGAGAAAGGCAGTTACAATCTTCAACATGCGATCAAAAAAACAAAGATCCGACATGTTACAATCTACAATTCCAAACTGGGTTCAAGCTTCTTCAAAAATTGACTCTAATTCTGAAAAAGGCCAAAAATTTCACAAGTCAATTTTTGAAATGATGATTCTTGACCTCCAACCATGGTCTATTGTCAATGATGCTGGATTTTTGAGGCACCATGCTCTTATTGCTCCAAATTACGAAATTGCTAGCGAAAAATACTACAGAAGTTTACTGGATCCGACTTACGAAAAAATTAAAGTTGCTCTCAAGGAAAAGCTGGTTCAATCAGAAGCTGAAAATGTGTCTGTCTGCCTTGATGCATGGTCATCATTTCATCATGGCTATCTGGGAATGTCTGTTCACTTTATTTCCAAAGACTGGAACCGTGTCAAATTCTGCATCTCTTGTTCTCCATTTGATGAAAGTCATACTGCAAAAAATATTTTCAAAGAGATCAAAGCAGCAGCAGAGAAATGGGAAATTTCTTCAAAAATTGGAGTTTGCTTAAGAGACAACGCAGCAAATGTAAAAGCAGCCTTCAATGAGCCAAGCTGTAATTATAAGTCAGCTGGATGCCTTAACCACTCCCTTCAACTTGTGATAAAAAAAGACCTATTATCAGATCCAACCATCAACGAACTGATTGAAAAGAGTCGAAAACTTTGTTCTTACGCATCCCATTCTATTGGTTTCTACACTGAACTTTACAGACAGCAAGAAATCCAAATGGATAGAAAAGACAGACTTGGCTTAAAAAACGATGTTGCCACAAGATGGAACTCTACCTATTACATGCTTGAGCGAATTTTACACCTGAAACCAGCCATTGCTGCAACCTTACTCAAATTTCCTTCTGTGGGAATTGAATTTTCCGTCCAAGATTGGAGCCTCTATGAAAAAGTGGTGAGGATTTTAAGTGTTTTTGAGGAGGCAACAAAAATGTTGTCAGGTAGTGATTCTTGTATTAGTTCCTGCATTCCAATTGTGACAACAATAATTAAAGCTTTGGAAACAACCTCCGGCGACGTCAGTGTTCAGAAATTGAAAATAGCTATGAAAAATGCAATGGAAAAACGTTTTTCAGCAATTGAAAAAACAGAACATTATTCAGTTGCTACTTTACTTAATCCAAAATACAAATGGTATTTTTTCCGATCTCAAGCTGCTTTGCAAAATGCCAAACACATTGTCATGTCCCAAATGGAGAATTTTGAACCTCTTGAAGATGAATTGGCTCCTGTTACTCAAATTCCATCTGGTGACAATGAAAAAAACACGGCATTCTCGCACATAATGTCAAAAATTATTGCACAGTCTCAAACAGGACCAAATGAGCATTCATCTTCCAAAATGACGAGGGAAGTGTTGAAGGATTTTTTGGATTGTTTAATGGCTTCTCATTGCCTAGAATTTTGGAAAAACTATGAAAAAAATGAGACTAGCAAAATCAAGTTAGCATTGACTAAGGTGGCAAAAAAGTACCTCACACCACCCCCAACATCCACAGATGTTGAAAGATTGTTTTCTACGGCTGGAGATATTCTATCTAACGAAAGAAACAGACTCCTTCCAGAAAATTTGGAAAAACTCCTTTTTTGTCGAGAAAATCTTGCAGTTGTTGGATTCTGCTATTAATCATTTTTTATTAATTTAACTTTGTGTTTTAATTGGAATAAACTTGCAAACAAAAACTATTATTTATTTTCGGTTCCGGTTTCGGTTTCGGCTCTGGTTAGGGTTTACTTTCGGTTCCAGTTCCGGTTAGGAATATTTAAAATCTATTTTCGGTTCGGTTCAGGTTCCGGCAAAATTTCAGTGCCGGTCGATCACTAATTAAAATACTAGTTTCTTGTAACCGTTACTTGTTTATAGAAGGTATGTATGAGATTTTTCAGTAATTGAGATTTTTTAAGTTTATATAATTTGGTACATTTTTTTACATTATTTATAATGTTATTAATTTTTCACAAATTGTTATATATTTTTTGTTTATTATATGTATATTTATTTGGTTAGACAAATTTAATTGAAATTATAATATATTAACTTTTTTTGTATACTTTTTAGAGGCATTATGGGTACAAAAGTTGTGTTTTCGGATGCAGTGAAAAAAGATTTAGCTTTGTACTTCACTTTGCAAGACGAAATACATACGCAATGTCAAAATGGACATATAATCCTTTCATTCACTAATAACGGTGAGTCAATTAGTCGTACTCTTAAACAAGTCAATGAGTTATTTAGCTTAAAAACTAGTAAACGTCGACTTTATAAGGCTATTAACATTGCAAAAAAATGGACTACCCATTATGCAGGGGATTGTTCAAAATTTTTTAATTTTTGTAATCAGCCCTTTGCATACCATGCATCAAACATGCCAATGATGCAAGCAATTCATCTTAATCAAAGTAGTTCATTGATTACTGTTTCAGGGCCTTCCGTGCTGTTAGCACATGAACATATTGCTACTTTACCTTTAGTTAATGGCAAGCCTTTTTTGCCCGTAAGTTGCTTAGAAAATGAAAAAGGAGAGCATGTCTCTAGAGAAGAAGTAACTCGAAAGGAAGCCAAACTGAGATCTAGGTTATCTTATTTATCTTCTAAGTTAGCTAGCTCAACTAAAGAACACAGGATAAAAATAGCTTGCCGTATAAAATAAAAATATTTAAGAAAAATATCCAAAGGAAAGAAGATATTATTAAAGCTTTGAGGGCAGAAGTTAAAGATCTAAAAAAACAAATAAAAACACATCATTACAGAAGATTAATTCGCAATATTAAAGCTAAAACAAAGGACTTAAAAGTAAAACAAAAATAAAACTTAATGCAAATAAAAATAACGCTAAATACTGATGGTAAGGCTAACAAAATGCTTATTGCTCAATTAGAAAATGACATGTTGCAGACAAAAGAGGGGAAAATGCCAAATTTTAATACGTCAGAAGGCGATAAGAGTTACCCTTCAAAAATGAGGATGATAATCTATAGCATGTTACTAGCTAATGTTCCAACAGGAAAAAATTCAATTCCTAATTTCAAAAATTGGGCAATATTTGGATGTTAATTTTACGAATATTCCTCATCGTTGTACTATTGAGCAAATGGCTCGTGAGCTTGGCTGTATAGCAGAACTGCAAGCAGCAGAATGGGCTATGAGTAATTTTCATCTTACTCTTGGATTTGATGCAACAACACAAGAATGTGTTCATTTCAACACTGTTCATCTGACTTCTAAAAACAACTGTCAGGTTAATGCGCTAGACCAACTACCAGGTGGAACAGCTGCTGATTATGAAAACCATATTTGTGGTGCAGTTGATCATTTAGCTTTTATTTATTTATTTTTTCACTTGCTTCCCTTTAATGAAAGTCGTAGTACAACTATATCAAATATATCCAACACAATGTCCAAAATTTGTAATACCTGGGGGAAGAATTTGAATGAGCTAAATTGTCATTTGCACCCCCTAGATACAATTGTCATTTCATGTCGCGAAATCTTGAAATCTCTAGAATTTGAACCTTGCAAATTGTTTGGTCAAAATTGTGTCAGCAATGAATAAGATGAGGTTTAAAGAGCAAAGGTGATCCACAAGGTTTTGTAAATTTTTTAGACAACAACCAACTACCGCGAGGTATTATTCCGCTGTATCGTGGAAACCGTCTGCACATTCTTTTCCACACTTGTTTCATTTTTATGAAATACTACACTGCTTTTCTACTTTATCTGACCACTGGAACAATAAAATGTTTCAGTTTGCTACCAATTTTGCGAGAAACATTTTGTAATACAACTGCTATAAAGGAAATGGGAGTGCTAGCACTATTCAGTAAACTTCTCAGTGGACCATGGATGACTAAGTTTTATGTATCACCTGATAATGCCACTTTTGATCATGTCACTGGTATCCAGGTAGTAAAAGATGTTTTAAAAGAAGTTACTAATGGCAAGTCTGATCCAGCTGCACTATTTTGCAGAAAAATTGATTGTTTTGGAACAGCGCTTGCCCAAATATTTTACAATCTATTACAACTTTATGCCCCATTGATGACCAACTTGTAAAAATGACTTCAGCTTGTGTGAATGCAGTTGAAGAAGTTTTGACTCGTCAATAAAAAAACAAAATTCGATCAGCTTTAATAATTACTACAGCGTATCATCTTCCGTGCAATTTCGCACGAGCTAGCACGGTTAGCTGTTTTACGGAACACACCCGCTCCGTGTAATTTAACTTTTAACTAACTTTAATTTTAAAAAAAATTATCTTTAAATTTTTTTTTTTAGGTTGGATACGACTGGGTAGGAAAGGGGGGCGTTTAGCGTGGCACATGTCCCGTCCCTTATGTCAACTTATACACCACTTGTATATGCTGTAAAGTAAGAAAATTTAATTTAAAATTTTTCATACAAAATATAATCATTGTTTTTTAGGTTCAAACATTTATAAGAATGTAGCATTTCACTACGAGGGTGTTACAACGTAACAAAGAAATTCACCCTTCAATCTAAAATAGACCACTAATATTTGGAAATGGATTGGAAACAAGTTAGAACAATTTTTTGTGTATAAAGATGACATATTTTATCAGGGTACGAGGGTGTTCCGGTACCCCCTCCGGTCCTCTAGACACCCCTTTTATCTATAGAGTTATATGAACTTGTAGCCTACTCTTACATCTATCTTTTGATACCAAGGTATAGACATTTGGATAAGATTCGACAAAGTTATAACAATTTTAGTGGGGAAAAAAAATATTTTAGAACCAGTTTCTTCAATAAATCCATATATCAAAAATTTGCTACTAAAAACGCTATAACTTAGAAATTGTCTATACTATACTATAGAATTGTCCGATTTTCATATTTTTTTCAACTTTAAAATACTGTATTTAAAGGCTTTCTAATGATATATAATATTCTAGTATTTAATTAATTTAAAAGAATCAGTCCGCGTACCTAGTAGATATGATTAATAAAGTTTTTAGGGTGTGGTTAACTAGATTATTTTACTCTATTAAATTACTTAATTGTTGAGTAAACTTGATTGCTGAAAAAACTAGATTAAGTTAATTCTACTTAATTAAAGAGTTTTTCTTCTTTAATCCTAAAAATTAAAAATAAAAATATCAGTGTTTTTTTTTGAGGAATTACTATAGTTGAAAAGGCTGAAAGGAAAAAATATGATGATTTGTTTCAAGAAAGTGATTGATTTACTTCAAAATGTCACTTTAAGATTTTTATTCTTTAATAATATTCTGGTGTTATTAACAAATATTTGGCAGTATGAAACCTATAATATTATATACAATATTATATACCCTAATTTATTATAAAGTTATTAATCTGTAAAGTAATTTGTAAAAAAATTTTAATTGTAAAGTTGCTGCATGAGAAGACAAGCTGTTAGATGAAATTCAAATATTGTCTATGCTTGTAATCTGTAGGTCAAAAAATAATAAATAAAAATGATATTGATTGTGCTGACCAAGAGATTCATTTTAAGACAAATCAATCTTCATCATCTTTAAATAAAAAGGATAAACAAGATAAATTTCCATTATCTCAAGCAAGTAAGTCTTTAGTTAAAAATAATATTGTAATGTTTGTTGTAAAATGCTAACATGACTGTCAATATTAAAAACATCATTGAAACGATGAGGTTCCAATTTTAACTTTAAATAATCACCTTCATGAAATCCATTATTTCAATATTATCAAAACTATAAATCTATGGAACAACCTTTCTTGTCTAACCCGAAATCTGAGAATATCTAGTAACTCTGTAGTAACTCTGCAGTTGTAAATTGCTAAATACTGATTTGACAGATTTTTCTTTTTTTTAATTTTTCTTTTCTATTAGAAACAAAGAGTTCAAAATATTGGTGGTAAGAACTGTCAAAAACTTGTGATAGCTATGATGAAAAGGTTAGTAAATTAAAAATGCATTCCTATAAATACTCTGTTTAATTTTATGATATTACTCCCATCCTACAATCCATAATACAAATCCCATGCATGGCTCTACCTAAGCTGTTTTACCATAATGAGATGACTGAATAACCATGAATTTCATACGTGCAAACTAGCACATGTGCGAAGCAGTTAAAAAACTGGCACAATACCAATTGGCATAAGTGCAAATGGGCATAACTGCGCAAAATAAATTCCAAATATTGGCATAAGTGTGAACTGGCATAACTGCAAAGCAGTTATTGAAATAGTTTCAGAAACTGGCATAAGTGCAAGCTGGCATATGTGTAAATTGGCATAAGTGCGCTAAATAGATTTACAAACATTTGCATAAGTGTGAATTGCCATAAGTGGAAACTGGTACAAGTGTGAAGCAGTTGCAAAAACTGGCAAAAGTTCAAACGACATAAATGCGTACTGGCATAAGTGTGCCAAATAAACTTCCAAAATTTGGCATAAGTGCAAAGGGCGAAATGCCAATTAGCACTTAGGTCAATGTTTGGAAATTTATTACACGCACTTATGTCAGTTCGCACTTCTGCCAGTTTTTGTAACTGTTTTGTACTTAATCAAATTTTGCACTTATGTCTATTCGTAATGTTTGCAAACCTGTTTGGCGCACTAATGCCAATTTACACTTTTTCCAGTTTGCAAGTTTAAAGCTATAGGTTATCCTATAGCTTTAAACTTTGGTCCGAATAATTCTTTTAACCCAGACAATATTTATATACATGACTACACTAATGGTGAGTGTACACTAATGATCTAGACTACATAAATGGTTAGTGTGCTATTTTTTAAATAATAATAATTAATAGATAAACTGTATCGTTAAAATCTAAATGTTTAATTACATTTAGAATTTATGAAGAAAAAGAAAAACATTTTTAAATACAGTAGTTAATTATAATTTCATAAATTATAAGATATAATATTATTAAACTATGGTATTTTTAGTTTTATGACAAATTCACTCATGGTCAAATTTAATATGGCAGCTAGAAAAGGCAAAAAATCATTTTTTCAACCAAGCTATACAACTTAATAAGCAAAGTGCTATTACCAGTGCATATACACTGGTAATAAACCGGTGAAAATTGCTAATACCAGTGAACCAATCATATTACCTTATTTTAGACATGTGACACGCGCGTATTTTAACTGAAAATAAAGAAATTTCCATGGCAAAATTATTTGTTAATACTTGCTTTTTAAAAATGGCCGCAAGCCTAAAATTAGGAGATACTTTCCCTGATTTTCAAAGTTGTATAAATGCAGTCAATAAGTTCGCTTTAACAAATTATCATCCATTAAGGATAGATAGTAAAGAAACTGTTGCTAGTCACAATAAAAAGTTAATTGCTGATAAAGCTATTGTCACAACAGAAGAGATATTCGCATGCAGGTTTTCTTTTTTTCTCTTGTTTTTTTTTTTAGATTGATTTTAACGATATAATGCCAGTCAAGAAAACCATTAAGTTAAATATGAATAGATTTTATTATTTAATACAGTTTTTTAATGTTTACGAAATATAAATTTTTGTTTATTGCCTTAAATTTATTGATTCGCAGCAAAAATCTCTGAACTAATTTATTAACAATAGTACTGAATAAAAGAATAAGTTACAACATTTGCCTACTCTATTTATTAAATTTTTCTAGAAGGACTGTAATTTATATTTATTTAAATTGGCAGGGCATTTTTTTAAATTTTAATAATTCATCTTTAGTAAAGTTACATTTTGAATGGTATTACATTGTGAGTAAAGAATAAACATCTAAAAATTATTATAGTTTTTCACAGTAATGTAATTTAAAAAAATTGAAAAGTTTACTTAATGAAATAACAAATTGCATTTATTATAATTCTTGTGTATTTTTTTACGACATTTCTAAAACATTAAAGTCCATAGTCGTTGCCCAAAGGAGATATTATCTCTAGTTTCATTAAACAAAACTTTGCTTGACTCATCATTTACTAAAGTCTCATCCTTTTACTGTATTTGTTTCTGCATTTTATAAAAAAATTTGTATCTAGGTTTTTCCTCCTCTTTGGAACTCTATTTGTTCCCATTTTTATGTTTTCCTGACTCAAACAACGTACAGTTTTTGATTTGAGTCCTCTGTCAACCATTTCCTTGCTCTTTAATTTTTTGTTTTCTAATAATTCTTGACTTATTATTGGTTTTTTAACCGTTTGCGTAGTATTTGTTAATGTTTAACTAACTGATTAATTGGAATTTACATTTTGTCATTAACAACAAATAAAAATACCATCCTCAGATTTGATATGATCCTCAGTTTCGATATAATGATTATGCTAATGACCGTAACTGTCCATTGTTTATGGTGGTGAAAGCAAGGATTAAAATATGAATCAGATAGCAACCAAAAACTAATAGAACATTTAAATGTGTTTTAGTAAATATAAATGGTTCAGTGAACAAAATAACAGAGGTGGAACAATTTGTTAGGGATTTTAAACGTGAAATATTTGTTGTAGTTGAAACAAAGATTTATTAACACTTAAAAAAGGATCACTACAATAAAGAATTTAAAATAAATGGATATAATGAAATAAGCGTATTATCATCCAGTGTTCATACAAGTAGATGTATAAAAATGATATAAAAGATTGGAGATGATATAAAAATGATGAATTCTGAAGTAGATATCAAAGACACAGAATAGTGGTTAATAAAAACAATAATGAAATATGTTAACAGGTCTATTTGTGTGATATATGTATATAGGTCTCCTCATCAAAACTTGATAAACGTATTTAAAAAAAGTTATTGTTATGGGAGATTTCAACATTGACATTCTAAAAAAAATAACTTCTTAAAAAAATACGAAATAGTTAACAAGAATCTTAGTCTAAAGATCATAAACAGTCATAGTATACCAGCTCTTGTGTACCCATAAGAATTACTGAACATACAAGTACCTGTGTTGATCAAATTATTTTCAAACTAAATATGATATAGAAAGTGACAATTCTGTACAGCCAAAAATGTCAGATCATGAGGTAGTAAGTGTCAAACGTAAATTTGATATTAAAGTTAAGAAATATGACAATGTGTTAGTAAAATATAAAACTATTAAACTGTATGAAAACATGAATTACAATAAACTAAACAAAAAAATTATGATTAGAAATAAAATCAAAATAAATGATAAAGATATAAGTAACTAAATAGTAACGAAATGGCAAATATAATGATTTATAACATTCAAGAGAAAGTCAAAATTGAAATTAAAACAAAAATGATAATAAACAATAGAACACCATACTCTAACTGGTTAAATAATCCTAGTATTATCAACATATCAAAACAAGTTAACTATGAATAAAGAAAATTCTTAATAATGAAGAAAGAAGGTAACACTATGTGTCTAACACAATATGGAATTACAAAAAATGCAGAAACTTAAAAACTTTTAAATTTAAAAGAATAAAGTGGGTGTGGTGAAAGGTGATAGTAAAACCATGTGGAAAGTATTATGAAATATTACTAATACATCAGATAATAGTAAATGTGTATAGAAAAATATTAAATTAAAAGACAAAAGTGATAAGTCAATAAGTACAATGAACTATTGGTTTTTTAACCGTTTGTGTAGTATTTGTTAATGTTTAACTAACTGATTATTCGAATTTGACATTGTTGACATTTTGTCAACAAAAAAATTTTTATACTTATAAAGTGATTTCAATAATTTTGCCGCTAATAAATTGTTAATAAGAATATTTTTGTAAATTGTTTCTAATGTGCTTTTAAGGTCTAGCAAAAGTTATATTACAAATTATTCAATTATTATTTAATTGTGTATACAAACTGTTATTTAAAGATGTTCTCTATTTAGATCGTATTATTTGGATGGCTTTTTGGATTCAGTTAACCTATTTTGTATATATGAAAGCCAAATTATTTATTTAAAATAACATTGAAGTTGATTTTTATTATTATTATTGCTTTCTCTACCTATGATTTTATGAATACTATAATTAATAAGATTTTTGTAAATAATATTTAACAAAAGTCAACAGGTAAATAAACCAAATTTGTCTTTTAACTTTGTTACTTTTTTGTTTTGTGACATCTGGACAACCCTGTGCAAGGGCAGAAACAAGGACGATAAAACAATGACGGTGATGGCACAAGTCTGCTATCTCTTTTGTTGTTCCTGTATGGTTGACAAATACAGGTATTTGAAGTGCTGGTGATTATGTTATCGTTGATGCTGTTGTTAGTGATAATGTTGGTGGTGATCATGATTGTAATAATTTTTTTAAATTGATTTTGTTATTTAGGTGGGTTTGTAAACATTTTGGTCAACCTAGAAAAAGAGATGGTGTGACTGGAAAAAGAAATCACCAATCAGTACTTCCTTGTGGCTGTCAGGTATGGTTTTACATATAATAATGAATATTAATTCAATTCCATAATTGAATTAATTCAATTCCATAATTGGAATTGAATTAATTCCATTAATTCAATTCCAAATTCCACTTAACATTTCAATCAAAATAAAAAAAAAAAAAATTGTAATGAAAGATATTTTTAACTATCCAGTAATTATTGATTATTAATGGCCTATTTTAATATACATTTGTTTAATATACAGGTGGCATTGTATATTGCATACAATCCTGCATTACCTGGATATATGGTGCGCAACATCAATCTTGAACATAACCATCCAATTGGTGCTGAAGAATTTCAACTCTACTCAACATCTAGAAAACCTACAAAGAAAATTCTTGAAGAAACTGAGGTTCTTCTTCATCAAGGCGCAAATCCAACTCTTGTTGCCAACTACTTGTTAGATAAAAAATTAATGGTAAAGCAGAAAGATATATATAATATAAAGCAGAAAATGAAGTTTCGAGGTAAATAAATTTTAATTTGAAAAGAACTCAATACTAAATTGAAATTAATAATTTTTATGTTATTATAGGTTCTGCTGTTGATGAAATCAGAAATGTTTTGACTGGTACGAAACATAACATACATGCTAATATGGAAGGATACATTGAGGCTATTACTTGGTCCACTCCAGAACAACAGAGCATTTTGCATAAGTTTCCGGAAGTTGTTATGATGGATGGTACATACAAAGTATCTGTTATTACTTTGTTTTGCTTTTCTCTCTGTTCTTTTCATTTTGCTTTAATGGCATTATTTTTAAATTTATGTTATAACATATTGTCTTACATGGCCTTCATATTTAGGTCAACAATATGGCAATGCCATTGTACACCCTTGCAATTGTGGACTGCAATGGAATAGGTCAGCCAGTAATGCATAGTCTTGTTGATAGAGAAGATCAGATTCATTTAGAGATGATCCTAGAAGATATTCGGTGTTGGACAGGTGATCTACTAAAGGCTGCTACGTTTGTTATTGATAAAGATTATGCTGAAATCTCTGCTATAAAAACGTTTTTCCAAAAAGCAGAATTCTTCTTTGTCGTTTTCATATAGTGAAAGCATTTGTTCTGGAACTTAAGAAGTTGCCAGTGTCTGAAAGCGAGCAAGATTTAATTTATGAGGTATTTGATTTATTATGAAATAAATATATAAGTGGAATGTGAAAATAAGTGTAAAAACAGTTAGCATATTTAAATTTTTTGAAGAAAATTCAAAGCATGGTATACGGTAACCAAGCACAATGTGAAGATGCAATAAACTTTGTTAAAAATGCTTTTCCCAATTTTTATGCTTATCTGGAACGAAACTGGTTATCAATTGGGGAGATGTTTTTTGGGTATCAACGAAATGGAGTAATGCACCTTAACAACCACACAAATAACAGATTAGAAAGGCATGTATTTTTAATATAGTTTTACAAATTTACTTGCACTGTTTATATTTCAATTAAATAATGTGTGTAATTTGTTTTGCTATATAGATATCACCGATCGTTAAAAGCTGTTACTGCTACTTCTAGAATAAGCCCAGGAATTCTGATAGAAAAGTTGATTTCTTTGGATAGAGTAATATACTCAAAAATAATGCACTCTGATTTTGATCAGCGTCTCAAAACTAGAAAAGATGTTCCGGATGCTCTAAAAGAGTATTCTGATAAAGTGTCATCTTTTTGTTTGAATTTAATTGTTGAACAATATTTTCTAATGAAAAAAAATGAATATGATGTAAAAGAGGTAGGTTACTAGTATAATACTTAATTGATATAAACTGATGAGAGCAATTTACATATATAGCAATATAAATTTTATGTCAATACAGGATTTGGAAAATAGGTTTCTTGTCAAAAACACCCATAGCGAGTATAATGTTTTTAAAAATGCTTGTAATTGCGGGTTTTCAACTGGATTTGGACTTCTGTGTCGACATATCATGTGTGTGCTGCAGTTTTTGCAAAAATCTATATTTGACTTGGAACTTGTAAATAAAAGGTTACTAATTCACAAGTAATTTTATACCATAGTAGAAATAACAATAAATAACAATAAATGTTTTATATTAGACTGTGGGATTAACCCAGAAAAGTTGCATTTTTGATTTTTTTTTTGGCATCTGTTTATATTAGATTTTTTTTAATCATTATTATATGTAGAAACCAAAAATAAGTGATTAACTCTTCTTTTTTTTTTAGCTAAGTAGTCATTTGGAGCTATGAAATGGTTAAACTCCAATTATGGTCATATTAAAATAGTAAATCTTTAATAATATAAATTGGCTCATAACATGTTTATGGGATGAGAAATTTGAAGTTGTTATATTGAAGCCAAAATTTAAAATATTGCCTTGAAATTTAGGGTTAGATAAAATGCCCAAGTATGGTAAAACTAATAAAAAGGTTGTATTAACATGAAAATACATGACCTATTTTCATTATGAGGGTTGTAGAATTTTGTCAAGTGTAACAACTTTACTCACTACTCAAATATACTTAATATTTAAAGCTATTGCTGTCTATGAGAATTTTTATTAATGTTGATTGATGCTTTTATAACTATTCATTGATATTATATACTTATATATATATATATATATATATATATATATATATATATATATATATATATATATATATATATATATATATATATATATATATATATATATATATATATATATATATATATATATATATATATATACTCTTTTACAAATATTCGCTGTCTGCGAAGCAACTTTCCGTCAGTTGAGTCTTACCTCCTGCAAAATTCACCAGACTTGCTTGGACTCAGTGAAACAAATTTAAATTCTACAATTCCTTCTTCAGATGTCAGTGTTGATGGATACTATCCTTTGATTCGTAAAGACTCCAACAGTCACATGCTAGGTTTAGGGGTATACATACGCATTAATTCCCCTCTTTGTTGTGAAATCAGGGTCGAATCCTTTGACCATTCTTTTATGTGCTTTCGCCTAGCACCTCTTCACTCTATCACCTTGCTCTTTGTTCTTTATCGTTCTCCTTCTTCCCATGATTGCACTCTCTTAGATGTTATCTCTGATCAAATTGACCATGCCCTCTCTCTTTACCCCTCTGCTAATATTGTTATTTTTGGTGATTTTAATGCCCATCACACTGAATGGCTTGGCTCTAACACCACTGATCCTGCTGGCACTAAAGCCTTTAACTTCTGCGTTTCTCAATCTCTTACTCAGATAGTTAACTTTGTGACTCGTTTTCCTGACAACCCTAATCATTTACCTTCACTCCTTGACTTGTCATGTCTTGTCTCTGACCCTAGCTTATGTTCAGTTTCTCCCTTTTCTCCCTTAGGTGGTTCTGACCATGCAATGATCTCTATAAATCTTTCTTCTCATACTTCTTTTTTGGGCTCACCTTATCATCGCACCACCTACTACTACCCTAAAGCTGACTGGGATTCCTTTCGTGATTTTCTTCGTGATGGTCCTTGGGCTGATGTCTTTTCTCTCTCAGCTGACAAATGCGCCTCCTACATAACCTCCTGGATTCAGGCTGGAATGGAAGCTTTTATTCCTTCGCGTTGGTTTCAAGTCAAGCCTCATTCTACTCCATGGTTTTCTCTTTCTTGTGCGGATGCTATATCCAATCGTAATCATTTTTTTCATCTTTTTCAAAAGAACAACTCTCTTAGGAACAAAAGGCTATTTATTATTGCAAGAAATCAATGTAAAAAGGTGCTTTCTAATGCTAAACTCCATTATTCTCAGTTCACTAAATCTCGCATCTTATCACAGAAGTTAGGCTCTAAAGACTTTTGGAAAATCTTCAACAGCATTATTAACAAGGGTAGATCTAACATTCCATCTCTCATTCATGGGACTGATCTTATTTCCTCTCCCAAGGATAAGGCAGAGCTTTTTGCAAAGAACTTTTCTTCTAATTCCACTCTTGAATCTTATGGACATTCTCTTCCTTCCATTCCAGTCAAACAGGTTGACCCATTGTTAGACATTCAAATCACTCCGGCTTCTGTTGCTAAAGTCATATCTCAATTAAACTCGTCTACAGCTTGTGGTCCAGACAACATTCCTGTCACAGTCTTGCAGAATTGTTCTCCAGAACTTTCTTCAATTCTCTCTAAACTATTTAACAAGTGTTTGACTGAGTCTTGTTTTCCTGCTTGTTGGAAAATGGCATCTGTGGTTCCAATATTCAAAAACTCTGGAGAAAATTTTGACCCCTCCAATTATCGTCCGATCAGTCTTCTTTCTGTTATTAGCAAGGTCTTTGAGTCTTTGATCAACAAATTCCTCACATCTCATCTTGAGTCAAATAAACTACTGTCAGACAATCAATACGGTTTTCGATCCTCTCGCTCTACGGCCGACTTGCTAACTGCTGTAACTGAAAGATTTTATCGTGCATTAGATGGAGGCGGTGAGGCTAGGGCTATTGCTCTCGACATATCTAAAGCTTTCGACAAAGTTTGGCATGCTGGTCTTCTCCATAAGCTTGCTTCATATGGTGTTTCTAGGAAAGTTTTTGAGATTATCAAATCATTTCTTTCTAACCAGTTTATTAAAGTCATCCTTGAAGGCCAACACTCTTCTTTATTTCCAGTAACTTCTGGGGTTCCCCAAGGTTCCATCCTGGGCCCTGTTTTGTTTCTTATCTACATAAACGATCTTCCTGATAACCTTTCATCTAAAGTAGCTCTTTTTGCTGATGACTCAACTTTATACTCCTGTCTTGACAAAAAGTCTTCTCTTTTCGATCGCCTAGAAAAAGCAGCTGATCTTGAATCCAATCTCACTTCAGTAATAGATTGGGGTTCACAGTGGCTTGTGAATTTCAACTCTAACAAAACCCAGTTGTTTACTGCACACAACTGCCGTAATATGGTCAACATTCCTATATTAATGAATGGCAATCCTCTTACTGAGTCCTCCTCTTTACGTCTTCTTGGATTATCGCTTACTACTGACCTTTCATGGAAACCATATATACAATCGATTGCTAAATTAGCTTCTGCTAAGATTGCTTCTCTTTATCGTGCTCGCCATTTCCTTACTTCTGATTCCATTCTCTACCTCTACAAATCTCTTATTTGTCCCTGTATGGAATACTGTTGTCATATTTGGGCTGGTTCTTCTAACAATTCACTTTCTCTTCTTGACAAGGTCCAAAAATGCATTGTAAATATTGTTGGACCTGGACTATCTGCTAAGCTTGAGCCTCTTTCCCATCTTTTTAAAGTTGCATCTCTTTCTCTTTTCTTCAAATACTATCATGGTCACTGCTCAAAGAAATTATCATCTCTAGTTCCATCAACTAAAGTTCATTCTTGTTTTACTCGTCATTCAGCTTAATCTCATTCATTTACTGTATCTGTCCCTGCATGCTCTAAAAACTTTTATTCATCTAGTTTTTTTCCCTGCACTTCAATCCTTTGGAACTCTCTCCCATCTTCATGTTTTCCTGACTCATACAACCTTCAACTTTTCAAGTCTTCTGTCAACCGTTTCCTTGCTCTATAACTCTGTTCTTTTTTTCCTAGTAACTCCCTAACTTAATATTGGTTGCTTGCAGCCTTGTTGGGAGTGAATGCAAATAAAATATATATATATCTATATATATATATATATATATATATATATATATATCTATATATATATATATATATATATATATATATATATATATATATATATATATATATATATATATATATATATATATATATATATATATATATATATATCTATCTATATATATATATATATATATATATATATATATATATATATATATATATATATATATATATATATATATATATATATATATATATATATATATATATATATATATATATATATATATATATATATATATATATATATATATATATATATATATATATATATATATATATATATATCTATCTATATATATATATATATATATATATATATATATATATATATATATATATATATATGTATATATATATATATATATATATATATATATATATATATATATATATATATATATATATATATATATATATATATATATATATATATATATATATATATATGTAATTTTTCAATAACAGAAGAACTTTGTTTTTATATATTTTTATTTTTTAAATTCTGATTATTAATATCTAAACAGATAATAATAAATGTAATGATGTATACATCACGATTCTGTTTAAGAAACAAAAACCATTTAGTTGTCAAGTCTAGAACCTTTCCAAATGTTATTGATTGCTGCCAAGATTCGAGATGATGTTAAATTAATGCACATAGCAAGCAACATTAAAGAAGGTACTCAAATCATGTAGATCTTTATTTGTAAACACCAAAGGGGTAAAGAGGATCAGAGAAGCAAAATTTAAAATAAAAACCCTGATCAAAATTGATGTCCACTTATACTCTTACTTCTCACCTTAAAATCTGTTACCAGAATCCTAAAATGTGTTTATTTCAATGCAAGATCGTTAAACAACAAATTAGTAAACCTAAACAACCTACTCCAATATAGATGACATCATCCGTATCACAGAAACTTGCCTCAACAATACCACTCCTGACTCGTTACTGTTAAACGGCAACTGTTATAATCTATTCCAGCATGACTGTGACGGCAAAGGTGGCGGCTCACTAATCTTAGTACGCAGTGATATCTATGAGTTTCAAATTTGTTATGAAATTTCTGATGATCTTCAAAACACTGAAATTACCTGCATTGATGTTAATGCTTCAACAAATCTTTGCAAGACTAGATTTGTGTGCATTTACCATCCACCTTGTGCAGCATCAAATATTACCATCCACCTTGTGCAGCATCAAAATTACCATCCACCTTGTGCAGCATCAAATATAAAAACCAAATCTGTGTGCAGGTTGCTTTGCATATTACTGTCAACATGTGATTCTGCTTGTGTAATAGCAAGCTATTTCAACTTACCACATATCAACTGGTCGATTCCTATTAGTTTTGGTGATGTTTGTCATTCTTTTGGTGAAACTTGCTCTTTAAATGCTCTCACTCAGCTTGTAGCCCAATCTACTAGACTCGACAATCTGTTAGACCTCATTTTAACAAACAATATTAAAACGGTGTACAATGTGGATACTACCGCCCCATTTACTAGCTCTTGTAACCACTGCACTATTCAATTTAATTGTCTAAATGCAACTTCTACAAAGCAGATTTTAATTCAATTCAAAATGACTTATTAAATGTAAATTGGTTTATGCTAGCCAAACAATACCAAGATGTTGAAACCTTCTGGCAATCTATTTGTGATGTCTTGAATTCTTCTATATATTCTCATGTTTCTGTACTTTGTTCTAAAACAAATCATGTTCAACCCCCTGCCATTCGCAAATTAGCATCTAAAATATGTACTTTGTACAGTCATTATAAAAGATGACATGATAATTTCTTTCTTACCAATTACAAAAGTTGTTCTGGTTTATACAATGCTGCATTTATTAGAAACTGTATTGCTAGAGAAAAAAACATAGAAGAAAAAGCTAATTTAATGCAATTTTACTCGTACATTTTACAAGTCCAAATCTACCTGTCCAAATTCTGTTCTGTCTCTTGTTAAAATCGCAGGGTTTTTTTGTACTGATGACAACGGTACCACACCAGGGTTAAATCTTTTATCTCATGATAATTCTCTGAATAATGTTATTTTTTCTTATGACTCTGTTGTAACTGCTCTTCAAAAACTTCTGCCTAAGTCATCAAATTAACCCAATGGATTTGCGGCTATATTTCTAAAATCATTTGCTACTATTATTGCTACTACTATTGCTATTTGTTACTACTATTGCTGTCCCACATTTAATCCTTTTTGAATTATCTATGTTAACTAGTGTCGTCCCAAAAATTTGGAAAACTGCTATTATTTACCCAATTTTCAAAAAAGGTAATCCTTTCTTACCTTCTAACTACAAGTTATCTTTTACTGAATAACTTTATCTCTATCCATCAGTTTAGCTTCCTAAAACACAGATCCACATTTACACAAATGTTAGCTTCTAGACCACGGCTGTTAACAATCATAAGGTTTTGATATAATCTATATTGATTTTGAAAAGGCTTTCGATTCTGTCTTACATCCCTAATTATTGCACAAATTAAAATCTTATGATATTAAGCACGAACTGCTATACTGGATAACAAACTTTCTAACTGACCAGGCTCAATGTGTCTGCATTAGTAACTCTTACTCAAATTGTGTATCTTTCAAGAATGGAATACCTTAAGGAACAGTATTGGCTCTTACTTTATTTTTATATTTATCAACGATATAATCTCAATTATTGAGGGTGACTGCGAAATGAAGCTGTTTGCAGATGATATCAAATTATACCAAGAGAGAGATCAAAGCATAAACATTAATGCTGACCTTGTAAATTCCTTAAAAAACTTTTACAATTGGACAACTTATTGGCAACTAAAAATAGAGTTCAATATATGTTTTCACATACGCTTTAGGAAGTGTTCTTTACCTGTTCCCTTGTATTCCCGACACCGTTCCCTCGTATGTCTCGACACTGTGATAAATACTGTTAACTTATTGGCAACTAAAAATACTGTTAACTTATTGGCAACTAAAAATAGAGTTAGAAATAAATACTGTTAACTAAAAATAGAGTTCAGTATATGGTGACATATACGCTTTAGGAAGTGTTCTTTACCTGTTCCCTTGTATTCATTTTGTCCCGACACCATGATAAATACTGTTAATTGTATTGATGATATTGGCATTACTGTATCATCTGATACAAAATTCTCCAAGCATTGTTCTCATGTTGCCAAAAAAGCCTACTCTTGTCTTTACCTACTTTTCAAAATTTTTATCAGTAACGATCCTCAACTTTATAGTAAAAGCCTACAAGTCTATGTGCAACCTATTTTAGAGGCTTGTACCCCGGTGTGGAGCCCTTATATTCTAAAAAATATTCATTGTACCAAAAAAGTTCAGAAATATTTAAGCAGAATTACCTGTAAAAGATGCCATGTTTCTTATTCTGATTACATATTGAGACTAATTCTTCTAAATCTCGATTCTCTTGAATACCGTAGAGTTTAATTTGATCTTGTTATGGTATACAAAATTGTACACAATCTCGTCGACTTACCTTTTTCCAATCTTTCTACCTTTTTAAACTCTCACTACAATACTAGATGTCATGCTAAAAAAATTATATCACGCAATATATGTACAAACGATTGCTGTAAATTTTTCTTCAGTGAAGGAACTGTAAAATTATTTATTAGTTCACATTGTTTATTCTCCTTATTTATCAATGTATAAAAGAAAGTTAAATAATTTTGATTCACAACGCAATTGCGTACTCTATTAATTTGTATTGTAATTATCTCTATCTTTTTTTATGTTAGTAGTATTACGTAAGCGTAATCTTGTGATTACCTGTTTCACCTTTTCGTATTTAATTTAAATGCAAATTAACATTATTACCTGTAATTTAAAAATATGTCTGTATTTGGGCATTTTATGTCCTTTCAGAGCCCAAAAAGATCACTTCTCTAAAAAAAGGAGTCCACCACCTGTTTTTCGTTTCTACATATAATAATGGTTTAAAAATATCTTACATTACATGATGCAAAAATAAAATCTTAAAATCTTATGTACATAATCCCTTGGTCTATATAAGGTTTCTTTATAATTTTAAATATTTTTTTTTATACAAAAATACCATAAAGTAGCTGTTATAATTTTTGTTTATTTTTTATAGATGGCATACACCTAAAACCAAATCTTGTCATATCCCATCAAAAAATATGTCATCTGTTTCTTTTGCACCTATTAAGGAAAGAGTACTAACTCACACTCAGCGATACCAAACAGTAATGTCATATTTACAACCAATAGCTTCAATTCTTGCAGATCTTCCTCCTTCAAGTTTTGTTAGTGCATTGGAATGGGTAAAAACGTTGGAAAATCACAGTCGTACCACTCAATGGATGTCAAGTAACCCAAATATCCAAAGTAATGACTCAACAGATTTAAATATAAGGAACTCTTCCGAAATTGGTAATAGATTTTATTTCTTTGAATTTGTTTAAATAATTTGGTTTAAATAAAAAAAAAAAGATATAATAGAAGAAAAGTAATAAATACTTTTAAATATAAAAGTTAATTGCTGTAAATATGTATATATATAATAGTAATTCAAGATGATGTATTGGGACTTGATGATATAGAAGAACGATTTGACTTTTCAATTCATCAGAAAGAGTCAGAGCAGTGCAAAGAAGAACCAAATGAGCATGAAATTCAAGGAAAAGAAATTGACCAAATCAAAAATGACAAAATTCCAACAAAGTTATTTAGCCAGCTAACTCTTTTATTAAAACCTATTGTCAGAAAATCTTCAGGCAGACCATTAAACTTTAAGCAGCGGCTCTTTTACCATGCACCTAAAAAGTATGAAAAGTTGCGCCCAATAGATAGACAAATTTTAACTTTGCGATGGTTAGTGTCCGATGACGATGCTAATAAAGCCATAAATTTGTGTTCAAAATTGTCAACTACATCATTGAAATCAGTTGTTGATATGCGAGCTGCTGATCCTAGAGTCGATATTCATCACTTTAAACAATTTTTTGATGATTCGGCATGGATGGCATTGGAAAACCAAATCAAAAATTTAAACAACGTCAGACGATGTTGTGCTCTTTGCCATCAGGAAGATGATCTAGCAACAACTATTGTTGGTAAAAAAAAAAAAAAAAATTGTTGGCTTCAATGCGATAGATGTTTATCGTGGAACCACTTTGGTTGCTTAGGTCTTGAGCGAAAACCAATAAGTAGTTGGTTTTGTGGGGAATGCCGTTACTAAATGTTGATAATTTTTAAATTATTATTTTAGGCTGATCTTATTATTATTTTGTTTAAGTATGTTATATTAAACTTAGTGTTTTTGTTTATTTTTTATTTTTGTTAAATAAAACTAAAGTTTAATTATTTATAAATTGTTTATTTAACGAAAACCATAATCAAAAGTAAAATATAGTTAACTAGTATTTGTTTTTTAATGTGACCGTTGCTTTTATTTATATACTAATATATAACGAATATTTTATTAGATAAATTTTGACAAGAGATATTTTTAATATACTGATGTTTATTAATAGCACATATTTATGTTTAATCAATTTTTGTTTACTGTATTACATGATTCAGACACATACTTGTCTTTTATACTTTGTAATCTAAATAATTTGAGTCCGGATGAAGTGACACTATATCCGTTCCCACACTATAGATTTGCATTTACAAAATTTAAACAGCATTTTGTAAGGAATGCCGAAATTATAATCATATTCATGTTTTTAACAGTATGCCTAAAATTCAAAAAGTTCCAATGCCATATTTAAGCTATAGTATGTCCAATACTATAGAAATTAAAAAAAAAACAATGAATAAATAAAATTCCAATAATAATATAAATATATTTAATAAAACCAAAAAGAACTATAAATATTGATCTGAACTAGCTTATCATAAATTTTTATTCTAAGCAATGCAAACGTGGCGTAGTTGTAAGAATGCATGCCTTAAAAGCAGGAGATGTTACAGATGCCTACACAATAAAAATACAATACAAACAAAAAAATGTAAGCAATTCAAATTTTAATGTTCACTGCAATATATTTGAGAATATATAATACAGCAAAGTCTATTATAATGTTCTTCAATTATAATGTTCTATATTCTTAAATGTTTCACTACTTTATAGTTGGATGTATCCGTTGATCTGATCATTTTAGTTGTGTTGAAAAAATTATTTCACCCATTATCACAGCAATCCCAAACCACTTGCCTCAGAAACAAAAAAACCCTTGGTTCAAACCCCACTTCTGAGCAAGTTTTGCGATAATAAATAAGCACTTGCACTTATTTTTGATTAGCCGGATTTTTTGAAGAATCTTTTCACACAAAGTTTGGGATGTCTAATAAGACAACTTAGTATTTCTCGTTAATATAATTTTTTATCTATTGGTATAAAAACGTAAATTACTCCGTATCGTTTTGATCATAGGAAACAGTTACTAAGTATCTGTTAGACGAGTCTTGTCTATAAGATAATTACTATAGTTAAAAAGAAACAGAATCTATGACAACGCTAGGTGCTCATGTGATTTTTTAAAAGTTATTTAGGAGTTATCGGTCTCATCACAGAAAACTGCAAAAAAAGGTTTTAGCCAGAAAGTTTACCCTCCTTCCTTACCAATGTTGCATATATTGTAAGCCGTTCTCAAACCACGGACCGCAGAAGTGCTTTTCAGGTGGTCTTATGTAATATTAAACTGAAGGAGATGACTGGAACATCAGATGTAGATTTATCAGGTAATGCGTCATGGCAGAGGAGAGGATTTTTGTCATTAAATGGATTTGTATTGTTAATTTGTGTTGAATTGGGTAAATGTATTAATTATTGTGTTAAATAATTGCACCATGTGTGATACTTGAGACAATAAAAAAGACTCGAATATTATGTTTTTTGTAAAACAAAAGTTGCTAAGGATTTGGTTCTATGGGACCTAGTGGTCTAGTCGCTATGTTTCGTACGTCAGAACAGTTCAAGGTTTGCGATATACTGAGTGGAGATACAAATGAAAAAACCTTAACTCTGAAAGGAGAAAGTGTTTTAAAAACAATACTAGTGAAAAGAAGTGAATTCTTATGGTGCTGTTTTAATTTACTTGATGCATTGTCATTTATTATTTAGATTTATTGTAAAAATCTTTAGCTGCTTTTTTTGAAAATCAACATTTTTTAACCGCACTGGGTGTCTAGTATTGATATTGTGCTACTTCGATTTTAAGATTTTTTTTTTTTTTTGGGGGGGGGGCCCCACAGTTACGATATAGTACAAAAACACAGTTACGATATAGTAAAAAAAAGGTACTATAGTGGTATACTGTTATTTTTTTTGGTTATCTTTATTAAAAAAGAAAAAAATTTAATCAAAATATTCTTTAACTGACTAATATACTTTTTAAAGATGACCATAGCTGATTAATAATTTTTTGAAATCAGACCTAAGTCAGAAATCTCATACCGAATTAAGAAATAAGAATGTCATGATAATTAACCAACTAAATCGACTTTTAGTCTATTATTAGGAAATCCATAGTTGATTGACTACTCAATTTTTTCAAAGTTACCTATTTTCAATTATTTTAGAAAAGTCACTTGATTATAAATGACTTTTAGTTGACTTAATCAAATTAAATTACAACACAAGGTAATATTGCAAAATAAAAATAACTACATATAATTGATCGGAATTTTTTAATGGAATCATGCACTTTTATGAAACTAGAAATAAACTTTTACAAAAAAATATTTTTAAAATATAAATAACAGTCTCTTTCTAAACATAAAGAATTTTGTAAAGCATCAAGTTCTTTTCGTTTTAAAAGTTTTTCTTTCATTAAATCATCATTTGGTGCTTGAATTAGTTTCTTCTTTTAAACACCATTAATTTCGACATTTCTTTTTGAACTTAGAGTTGATAATGCTTTTACTTTTTTGGAAGTTTCAAACGCAACTTAATATCACATTCTAGATGATTTTACATATTTTAACATTTCTCTAGTAATTGGAATAAATGGATCATTTTGTTGCTTTAATGATATGTGATCATTTACAATTCTTAAGAAAATCTTCATATGAATTTTTCAGGTTAAGGTAATAATATGAAAGTACCAAATCTAGCTTTTAATTTTATATGACGGCTTTAAAAGTCTATCAAAAATTTATATTAGAACCATCCACACTGATGTGTATTGTGCAGGAATTTTATATTAAGCTTAACTTTCACGAGAAACACAAAGAAATTTTCTTACAACTTTTTAGCAGTGCAATCACATGCAATGACAAATCCACAGAATGTAACTTTAATGCAGCTAATTTTTAAGAGCAATATTGTACATACTTACTATGTTTAGTAATTGTTGAACTGTAGAATCGTTAAATTTAAATTTGAGAAGAGATAAATTCAAATCTTGTAACAATAACTTCGATATAAAAACACTTCAGATTGAATGGTGCATTAGGACTTTGTTTTGCTTTATTTAAATCTTTTGGCAATTTTTGAATATGAAAACATCTTGATTGATCAAGTTTAAAGAATCATTAGTTTTACTTAAAACCATGAAGGTTTGAGCTTTTAAAATCTCTTTCTTAAGAATGTAACAAACCATTAAAACTTTTAGCAAAATATCTATCTTTATTTTTACTGTACTTATTTTCATTAAACATTGACTTATGAAATTTGATAATTGCATTGCTACTTAGTGTCCTTGCTCTATTGCCACTGACTATAAAAAAATATTTTATGACATAACTTGAAATATGTAGAATAATGATTATCATAACATACTTGAATCCATTTAAAGTCAGACTCTTGCAACTTAGTATATTTTATTTTTCTCTTAGATATCTTAAAAATATAAATAAACAGTTAAACTTTTTAAAATTTAATGAAGAAATTTAAAAACTTTAAATTTCTTCATTGATTTGTACAATTTTTTATATTTGAAATTGTGATTATTGAAAGACATTTAAAAATTTAAGAAAGATTGGCAATTACATATTTTTTAATATATCTATTTTCTATATCATCATAAAAACACATTTTAATAATAATAATAATAATAATAATATATGTATATGTATATATATATATATATATATATATATATATATATATATATATATATATATACATATATATATATATATATATATATATATATATGTATATATATATATATATATATATATATATATATATATATATATATATATATATATATATATATATATATATATATATACATATATATATAAATATATATATATATATATATATATATATATATATATATATACATATATACACATATATATATATATATATATATATATATATATATATATATATATATATATATATATATATATATATATATATATATATAAATATATATATATATATATATATATATATATATATTATATATATATATATATATATATATATATATATATATATATATATATATATATATAGGGGTCGTCCATAAAGTATGTCACGCTATTTTTTTCAATTTTCAACCCCCTCCCCCCCTCCTGTCACAAGCTGTCACATATTTCTGCACCCCCTCCCCCTAAAAAAGTATGTCACATGTTTCTCCCCCCCCCCCCCCTCCCTCTAAAAAAAAAAACAAACCATTACGGAATTTTCAACATTCTAAAAACATAGTAATAGCTATTTAACAGAATAAAAAAGACTCAATTTAACTAATTTGAAATACCTTCTTAATTTATTGGGAAAGATTGTCATCATAAAATAAAATAAAAATAGTTTTTTTATTTGAACCTTATGTTTTTCAAATTACAAATTAAACTTACTCCTTATAAATACTCCTTTAATTGAATGAGTAAATAAGTAGAAAATAATCATGATAAATAATTTTTGTGATGTCACATTCGTCAAACTCCCCCCTCCCCCCTTGTCACAAATTGTCACAAACTTATGCCTCCCCCCCCCCCTAGTAGCGTGACGTACTTTATGGATGACCCCATATATATATATATATATATATATATATATATATATATATATATATATATATATATATATATATATATATATATATATATATATATATATATATATATATATATATATATATATATATATATATATATATATATATATATATATATATATATATATATATATACATAATTATTACTCTTATAGAAACCAACTTATTAGTACAACATTTAAAATAGACTTAAACGTACTTATAAATTCATCTTTCATGTAAACAGAACAAAAATATAAACAAAACGGATTAGTCACGTGTTTAAAATATCCGTGTGACAAAATTATCGCGATATGA